AGATTTTAATGAAAATACCTGAGAAATCATAAAGTACTCTGAGAATGTATGAAGTGTGAATAGCATACAAAGCTCTAAAATCTATGAAACATACTTTTAGTTTTGGGGAATTTATCGGAGAAAAAAAGGACATTGTTTAAAACGTAATTGGAGAGCTCTGTCAAAAAAAATTAGGCTCTCTAAATCATCTTGGAAGAAGGCTAGTATAAAAATTTAAGATAAAAAATTACTGTTAAAGGTTACTAAGCATATTAGGTTTAATACTTTTTAAATTAATTTTAATTATTTAGTTCGATGAATGCTTAGTAGTAATAAGGAGTCCGTACATAACTAATTTACATAACATGCTTATAACTGTTTCTTGGACTTGATGCTTGTACTATCTTTAATTGTTAAGGACATTCACAGTTGCTGGTCACGCCATATGGTATATTGTTGTTTACTTCTTTATTTGCTTGCAAGTCCTTGATCAACAGTACAATGGTCACTTAAAATACTCTTTTTATTATAAAATGTCATATACTTTATAAAAATTATTTTTTGACATAGGTTTCAAGAGTTTACTGCAGTAAAAGAAAAATAAGGTAAATACTATCTGTAGGTTCTGAACTTCAGAAAACTTATAATCTATCAGGTTGATGCTCACAAAAAAAAATTCTCACTGTCTTTCTAGGAACCACTTTTTTAAAATCAGGAACGTAACAGTTTTTCAGCCTTGGGCTTCATTTCCCACCCCTATCCCAAGTATATGTCAAAAAATTTTTTAGATAAATTGGGTCTTGAATTTTAATGTACTGCAAAGCGATTGTGAAGTAAGAAAGTACAGAATCATTTTTGATCAATCTATCACAAACAATTTTGGAATAGGAAAAACCACAGTTCTTTAACTGATGTATACAACAGCTGCAAGAGCTGTCACAGAAAAGATATCTGGGGCCGGATCAGGAATTAAATGAAACAGTTTACTGTCTGAACATTCCAACCTCAAAGGAATAAAACCAAGTATCTCAGAAATTCATATACATGCAAGGCTACATTTAAAATAGCACCACTAGTAATGGCTCTCAACTGAAAAACGGGAAAGCTACTAACAGTTACATAAGTCAAACAGGGTTCCATCTAATTATGAGAGAAGAGTAGCCATTTGTAAAGGCATTACTGACTGGAATGCAAATGAATGACATCAAAGGATCTAGAAAATAAATCTGTAGTAGATTTTAGAAAAGAATCTTTTAGACACAGAAGAGGTAAAAACAATTCACTGAGAGAAAAGAGAGCAGAAAATGGGCCATAAACTGCTTCTTCCGAATATCAGCACAACTCATGTTGAATGGCATACCAACGGTTAACTAAAATATTGGGACATTTGAATAAAACTATATCTCTTCTCCAGGGTTAAAGGTGAAACCAAAGCAACACCACTAGGCTGCTGCCCTTCCTAGAGGAGTACAAAAACTGTTACAAAACGGAACCTGCTCATGCTAGACCTTTAAAAATCACAGTTCCCTTGGGAAAATGGTCATATGGTTAAGATAAGACTATTACTATCTACATTATACACTGACTTTTCTAGAAGCTTCAGATTTCAGTTATAAATATCAAAGAAGGCTCAAATTTAGGTTATGTTATTTTACCTTGACATAAATAAGCGACACCTTTTTCCTGCTAAAAGTGATACTAATTTTTATTTCAAAATTTAAATTACAAATTTAAAATAATAAATATGATTGGTTCTGTTTCTCAACTTGGTACAAAATCAAAGTAAGAAGTATTTTTAACTTGCTGACTTTACCACCTCAGTTATTATATAAGAGACTATGACTAACTTCATTTCTAAAAACAGAACAAAAGGAAGATTTGCATTTTACCAGAAGCAGGAGGAAAAAACATGAAGTAGATATAAATTCCTGACACTTAAAGTGTTTTAACATTGGAATGGGATATTATATACAGAATACAGATTTTAAAACCTGTTAAGAAATTTTAAATTGTCTAGGCTCTTATTTTTCCAGGCTGAACTAGTACTATTTGATAAGAAGCTTAAAAGCTAGTACTATTTCAGGAGGACATGTTTGTGTATTCTTACAAAAATTTAATATAACAAACACATATTCCTAGGAATTCAGGTACATCAAAGGTAACAGGACTACCAAAACATACATTAGTTCTAGAAATCAGAAAACTTAGAACCTTAATTTTAACGGTGTAAAAACTCTCTTTTGAGATAAAGTTTTATCATATTAAAATGTAATCATACATACTTTAATGTTACATAGTTCTCTGCACTTTATTAAGCTATGAAGTTTGGTGTGGAACTCTGATACTATCATAGGTAGTTTTGGTTTTTGTGGGTTTTGTTTTGATTTGCAGGAAGTAGAGGGGAAAGGTTCTATATTTGGTGAGTATGGAACTGACAATGAGTTTTTGTTAAAAGAAATAGGCTTTGGAATCAGACCAAAGGGTTATAATTCAGTCCCTAATCACTTTCCAATTGCAAGATCTTGAGCAAATTACCTACTTAAGTCTCAATTCTTTCACTCACAATGGAAATGACCCTAACAACAGCTCTCACTAGGGTTACTATGATGCTTACATGAAATGTATGTGCCAAACATTTAATTCTGTGTCAATAAATAGGAGCTATTATTACTACTACAATTTCTTGTTACATTTGATCTGAAAACTTTGAGAATCCCTGCGGTACAGGGCTAAGCAGAAAACTGACTCAGCTTTCCAGAACATGGAATCTGGCTATCTATCCTGGATTCAGGACTGAGAACATGACATCACTTTCTAGTCCTTCCTCCTATAATTTTCTTAAATATAAACTTAACCTAAGACATTTTAGATTTCTGGTATCTTCCACTAAATGCCATATAGCATTCTTTTTTTAAAAAAGAAATTGTAGTTCAAACCATTATTATATGAGTAGTAGATGCTTTTTTAAAAAGCTATGAAAAAGAGCTGTAAATTCTGAAATTCCCCCATTTATGGTTTTGAAAATTAAAATATTGATATCATTTAAGCACTGGAAAGAAAAATGTTCAACCTCTGTTAAGAAGCTGAACATACTAATCAGCCCTATTAAGGGCTGATTTGTGATTCAGAGAAAATTCTGGTCTCCATGTTATTTTAATGAAAGGCATTTATTACTGAGGTCTAAAGAAACACCATATACATATGGAATACCATCTTAGTGGTAAAGTCTCTGAGATTTAATACAAAATATTTTATGGATGGAGATGGTTATCCTTTCCAATACCAATACCAATGAAGGGGGGAAGCACCATACTTGAAGGCAAAAGGCCAGAAAGGTTACTTCCTTATGCAAACTTAAGGAGCCTCTTTATACAGCCTACCAAATTATTTTAAGTGTATTAGCACTGCCCATTTCCATTAATCAATAATTGAAATATTATTAACCTACCAGGAAAAAAATTAAAAATATGATATAAGCTGGCAGCTTAAGAAATATAGGCAGGTTCTTTTAATCATAAAAATTTTTGTTATATTAACCTAATGCACAGAAAACAAGAAATAAGCTAATTGGAAATAGGAGAAAAAAAGATATTTCTTGAAACCGACTGGGAAAATAACCATCTGTGTTGTACAATCAGCAAAACCTACTTCAAAAAGTAATCACCTCTCTACAAACATGACAAATACTAATGTTCAATTGCTGAATTTCTAAATAATTAAATAATTAACCATTCACCTAAGAGCAACCAAGGTAGCATATGCCCAAATATAATCTAAAAATAGTTTCAGTGAAAAATTCTGAAGATTGTTTGAGTCAAATATTTAAATGACTGATTGAGATCTCCTTACCTCTTACGGTACAAGTTTTAAGATCAATACTTAAAATTATTCCAAATGACTATATTTAGCAGTAGATTCATCAGGATACAACAGCTCTGCATTCCGTACATGAGCGTAGAAAATAAGTCATAATCACAAAGGTTCCAACCTCACCACCACAGGTTAACTCCAAGTGAGGTCCCACATCACTGCCAGGTTCCAGCTGTTTTCAGGACCCCTGCAGCAGCACGATTCTTGGCCCTGTTTTCAGTCCAGTCGGTGGAGCCCAGCAAGCCAGCAAGTGTGTGGGAGAGCTCTGCCTCCAGGAGCTTAATCCTCCTCTCTCAGCACATACTGCTTTGCAACACCACAGAAACGCCCCAGCCTAAACTCACACTTGCAGAACAGGCTTCACCAGAAGAGCTCCACCCATCAACTCCACACAGGTGAGCATTTCCTGCTCAGAAAACAACATATGAAATTGATATTAAATTGTCTTTTCTCTTTTAAAAAGTTAATTGCTTGTCAGTTGTTTGCTAAGTAGGTGGGAGACAGTGTATCCAATAAAAATGATGGCACTTTAGGCTCCCTTAAAATAAGAAAAGTAATTGATCAAGTAGGAAGTACTGCCAGTAAAAGGCTGAATCACTAAAACAACAGGATAGGCTGAGAAAACAAATCTTTTAATATCTTTGCTGATACTGAGCTAAGATTGTTATTCCATTAACACATTTTTTTAAGTATCAACTTACACAGTCTCTGTGTGAAAAATTCTAAGACAATCTCTTATGCAATTATTAGGGAAAAAAATAAAAAAGGTTTCTTCAGAATGGGAAATCCAGAATTAAAGAAGTTTTCCCAAGTATAACCTTCTCCTTCATACACTACACAGAGGTCAAATATGTAACTCTCCTTCACCCATGGAGTACCAAGGCACTTACTTTCCTCTACCAGAGACATTCATTAGCAAAAGTGAAAATCTTTGGCAACTATTATCAAACTGGCATTCAATCTCAACTTGTGACTTTTTAAAGCTTTAAAGATTCTTGTTAGTTATTTGCAAAACACAATATAAATACTGAGATTCAATACTTCTACTAACTAATAATACTGAACTGTGTTAACCCAATTATTTATTTATTGAAGAAACAAATGAATCGGAAAATATTTACATATTTTCTGTTCCAATGACTTTTTTTTTTTTTTTTTCCAGGTAAACTGGTCATGTTATTAGCAGTAGTACTGTTTGGCATAACAGGTTTCCAGTAAATAGGCATGGAGTTGCATGGAGGTGACAGAGGCAGGCGCAGGCCAGCTTCACTCACTTCTTCCACTCGTTCTTTTCGTAGTCCCACTTGGAGGCTAAGCCCTGGATGGGGTTCACCTTCATGTCCAGCATCCTCTTGGTCTGCATGGCCACCCACTCTTTGTCAAAGGTTTGCGGGAGGGGGCCGTACACATAGAGCTTCTCCCACATGATAAGGAGCGCGGTGAAGCCGATGAAGAACATGGCAGTGCCCACAACCGTCTTCCACTCATTCGAGCGCTTGTTCATCTCAGCAAAGCTCTCCTTGAACTTAATGCGATACAACTCGACTTTCTCATCCATGGAGAGGCTGCTCCAGGACGCCTTCTCCTTCTCCTTCAAGGCCTTCTGGCTGGCGGACAGGTGCTTGACATGGGCCACATCCGGCAAGGGATAGTCACGCCGAGCCACGTAAGCTGGGAGCGAAAAGTCTTCGCTCTTCACGACACTTTCATGTGCTCGTACACACACAGAGGTGGAAATTGCTCGCTTGCCAACTAGGCTAAATACCCTGGTAGCCAACATTCTGCCGCCACTGCCCGCCGCGACCGCCCTCTACGCCCGGTGTCCCGCGACCGGAAGCTGTTCCAATGACTTTTTACTAATATTAACGTAAATTCTACTCTCAGGTATTTTTTAATTTACAAAATAACATTATAGCACTTATGTGCCACACAATTCTAGGTATTTAAAAACATTTTTTATCCTAATCTAATGAAGGCAGTTCTATTATTAATAGTCTTAGGAGGCTAAGGCAGAGAGATTAATAAGCAATTTGCCAAGGTCCCATAATAGTAACTGGCAAGAGACGAGATATCTATCCAGGGAGGATTCATCATGCACCATACCAAAATCTTCTGCTGTTGATTGAATTTATTCCTTCCTTCCTCTTTGAACATAGTTCTGAACATAGAATTGTTGATAAATGGTAGTCCACAACAAAAAAATAAATTTATGTGATTTTAAAATAAGAAAGACCATAGAGAATTCCAATATGTGGCAAGAGCAAAACATGTTAATCTTTACCAATAGAACATCTATGGATTTAGAAATTTAGCTGAATAGGAAATAAGACTCTTAAAATCTACTCCTATTGGAGAAGGCAAAGCCACTCTTCTTTAATTTTAAATGAATAACATCCCTCCCTCCCAACCTCTTCCTTACCACTAAAGACAGTAAAGGAGGGCAAGGGAAAGATAAAAGAGAGAGAGGAAGAAAAGAGAGAAAGAAGAGGAGAGATGAAGGAAGAGAGTGATAAAAAAGAAAGTACACATTTTTACTGTAGAAAAGTCATTTGGGAATATTTAGAACAATCCGTAAGCCCCACATATTATGTAACATATAAACATCCATGTTTATATGTGTTATGTAATATATATGTTAATATATATTATATATAAAATGTTATTTAAGTAATATATGTTATATATCAACATATAAACATTGATAGGAATAACTGTATTCCACAATCATTGGCCTGTGTGTGGGAGATTTACATAATTAATGACAATAATTCTCATCTGAAACCCAAAAAGCTGTACTCTAATGCCATATAAAAATACATGGTAAGAAAATGAGTGCTGCCAAAGCTGGTGAATTTGGAGTAAGGTCTGCATCTAGTTAACAGTATTGTGACCATGTTGTTTCCTGGTTCTGATAATGTACTACTATATAGTTACATTCCAACTGGGAGAAACTGAGTGATGAGTCCAGGGGATCTCTCTGTACTATTTCTGCAACTTCCTCTGAGATCAATTATTTCAGAATAAAAAGTTAAAAAATATAATTGACTGAAAAGATGCTGTGCCATCTAGTGACTATGTAGGAGAGGTCACTTGTTTTTCTCTCACATTTAACAAAACGTTTGGTGGCTATCCCCCTATGTTGGACTAGGATGTATCTTTGCATGGGTGGGAGAGGCAACAAGAGAATTCACTGGAAAGGCAATGGCTTCATTCTAATCATTCTATCATAAGAACTGCCTGAATGGGGCCGGGCGCAGTGGCTCACATTTGTAATCCCAGCACTTTGGGAGGCCAAGGCGAGCGGATCATAGGGTCAGGAGTTTGAGACCAGCCTGGCCAATATGGTGAATCCCTGTCTCTACTAAAAATAAAAAATTAGCCAGGTGTGGTGGCACATGCCTGTAAACTCAGCTACTGGGGAGGCTGAGGCAGGAGAATTGCTTGAATCTGGGTGGAGGTTGCAGTGAGCCAAGCTGTGCCACTGCACTCCAGCCTGGGTGACAGAGCAAGTCTCCATCTTAAAAAAAAACAAGAAAAAAGAAAAAGAAAAAAAAAATTACCTGAATGATTCAATCCCTTCACAGTATGTCTGCAAATTCTGCCAGCTCCGTGGCCAAAATATATCCAGAAGCAGATCACTTCTCATCACTTACACAGCTACCATACTGGTCTAAGTCACCATCATCTCTCACCTGGCTCATTGCAACAGCCACTGCCAGCCCCTCTTCTTCTACCTATCTCTGCCTATCCTCTTAACACAGTAAGCAAAGTGATCCTTTTAACAAGATAAATCGAACCAAACAAAAACTGCTCAATGTCTTCCACTGCCCAATTAATTCTAAATAAAAGCCAAAATCCCTACAGTGGCCCCCAGGCCCCAGAGGAGATCTGACCCCTCTCCCCTCTTGACCTCATCTCATCTCTTTACCCGCTGCTCTAGCCAATGTGGCCTTCCTCCTGACCACTTACCAAGACTGACACACATTCAACTCGGTATCGTTACACTTGCTGTTCCATCTTTGGAAAGCTCTTCCTCCGGATACATGCAGATCTCCCCTCCTCATCTCCTTCAGGTCTTTGTTTAAAAGGAGGCTTCTAATGAGCCATTCCAGGACTACCCTACTCTCCCTTGAAAATTATAACCCCACATAAGCCACATCCCAGCACTTCCTAGTCTTGGCATTCCTCTCTCAGCTTTATTTCTCTTCATAGCCCTCATCTATCATACTATATTGTTTATTTATTTATTTACCTCTCCCCTTCTTGTCACACATGAATACAAACACCAAAATGGTGGAATTTCTGTCTGATGTGTTCATGTTTTAGCCATAGCACTTAGTATGCACTCAATAAATTCTTGATCGATGAATGAATGAATACTGGAAATGGCCGAAAGCGGAAAAGCCTCTTTACTTAGGGCAAGAAAAAGACTGATTAGGGGGCTACTCCCAGCACTGACTAAAGGGCATATGCGTTTAGGAAACATTTTTGGTAACTATATTGAAAACTGTTCATGCTTATAATTATCAATCAAGAACCGTTTTGGAGCATCCATATAAAAGATGTGAATTACTGTAAAATACATCTGCCAACAAACAAAACCATGTAGTGGGGAAAAAAGACACACAGAAAGTGAAGTATCAAACTCAGAACTTTTTTGAGAGAAATGAATGTGCACTCAGGTGAGCTGAATGCAAATTCAAGTTTGTCAAAGAGTGGCCTAGGGAACCTTCACACACAAAAAATGGTCAGTCAATCACAGGTGAGGGAAGGGGGAAGCCCAGAGTACCTTGGGAGAAGAGAAAGGCAACATGTTAGTGAAGCTGAATGTAGGTAAGAAATGGGGTGGGGGGAAGGCTACAAAGATAAGTTCGTTCCAGTATTTGTGAAACAACTCAAATTCTACACTAAAAATTTTCTATCTAATTCTGGCACAGAGGGAGGAATTCACCCAAATTTTCTGAAGATAAGATTTACAGGATGAAAGTTGTACTCTAAAATTTTAATTTGATAAGTACTAGGATGGATTAATTCAACAGGCATTAGTTGTGTAACCACTATACACACTGCCTGGGGAGGAGATGAAGATGAATGACATGTTTGTCACTTATGAAGAAAGTACAGTTTAGTGAAGATGTGAAATAACTGCTATTAAATTTGCACTAGTGGTGGAGAGGAGATGGGATTAGGGAGTGGGTCAGGGAAACTTTCATGGAAGAAGCGGATTCTGGCCTGAGTCTTGAAATATAAGGAGGATTTCAACTGGCCAAAATGGGGAAGGCATTTCAGGGTGTAGGAACAGCAGGAGCAAAATGAAAGCTATGAAGCCATGTGCCATGTTCAGAAAATACAAGGAGATTCCAGTCAAGTATACAGGGAGTAATACTATACTAAGAAAATGGAAAAGAATGACTGGAAATGCTACAATATAATAGAGTTTGGGGATATGTTTTATGCATAGTGAGGAAAAATTAAAAGATTTTTTAAAATTAAAGCAGCATTAGGAAGGATGATGACTGAAAACAAAATTAGCAAATTAAGTAGGTTCCTGTAAGCAATTCTCTTTAACCTCAATTTAGCCCATCTTTTGCCCTAATTTCTGTTCTGTTTATACAGGCCTTATAAAAATGCAAACACGTTTTATTTATTCCTATTATAATAAAAGCAAAAGGAATTAAATTTTTGTTTTGACAGAGAGAACAAAAATCTTTATGTCTATTCAATGTTCTACAGTGGGCAGAATTCTGGGTTTTGAATTAACTAATTGCACACAAGTTAGTTAACCCACGTCAAGTGCATGGCACAGGGCCTGGCACACAGGACTATGTAAGTGCTGGCTGTGATTACTATTAGGTGTCAGGACATTTCAGTAAATCCTAGTTGTGAAGCCTCAGGCAAGCGTCTTAAGCTTCCAGTTGCCCCATTTGTTAAAAAGGGTAGGAAGGGGAGGGATGGAAATACATTCCCTATCCCTAGCAAGCTCACACGGTTGTGACCAGATTCATGTCCCATTTAAACAGTGGAAATGTAAGTATTCATAAACCCTAAAGCACTTTACAAATACATGGTATTATAAATTTTCTGTTTTCCCCTGATACAGAGTGAGAAAATATTATCTTGATCTATCCTTTGCAATGTATTTGGGGAGAAAGCTTCCCAAGACATTTTAGCAGTTTAGTACTCCTTTGACTCTCATATCAGTGCTTCTGAAGGTAGGGATTTTAACAATCTGATTCTTACCACATTTAAGCATTTGTTCAATGGGAAGCATATTCAGTGCAATACTCCCAAGAGAGTAAGTAAAAACCTGGACCTCTTTTAGTTGATATATAAATGTGTGGTCACTTCTTACTAAAGTGACATGCAAAGAAACATGGCTACAAAAGAGCAAAAAGTGTTGGAAACTGAAACAAGAAAGAAAATAGAAACAATCCAGGAGCAAGCAAGTCCAAATTTAAAACAAGACAACTGGAATTAGGTAATACTGAAAGTAAAATAACATAAAAAGCAAGATACTAGAGGACTGGTTTCCTGAAACACTACTACAAATAAAAGCCCGGCTGGTCCAAAGGTACTGAGTTATCTCAATTGATTGTACCCACGTCAGTTACAGATCTATTTCCCTGTTCTACTCTTTTCTGTCTTCTCACACATGCTCTTAACTAGTCTTACAGAAAAAAAGTCTCACCTTTAATGTATATCTGTTAACCGGAAAAAAATTATCTTCAAAAAAACAGAAATCTGTGATGCAAACTCCTTCCCCCACCATGGTTCTGTGAAAACTACTGTAATGAATTTGTTTCAGTCATGCACTGTGATAGTTTAGATATTT